TGACGGGGTGACTCGTGTGCAGGGGATCTTTGTGGCCCCACAGCAGGGTGGTGGAGCCAGGTTTCAGGAATGGAGGTTATCCTCTCCACCTCTCCTTTCTCTGGGGCCACATGGTTTCTCATTTCTACTTCATACTTCTTTCTGCAGAGTGGTTTTCTGTGCTTAATTATCCAAAAGCACATCACCAACAATAAGTGTTTCCCAAACCTACGTAATCTCTCAGCTTTATTGCCCATCTCCATCCGACCAGCCTCATCCTATTGCAGCTCAGAATTTAAAGAGCGAGAATATAAGTGCTCGCTGGCCAGCCAGTGATGGGCCACCGCTGAGTCAAGGGCCTGCCTGCTTCAAGTCAGTGGCAGCTCCTAGGGTCCCATGGCCCACCTCACTGTCAGAAAAGCCCAGAGTCCAAAGAAGCATCCCTGAGAAGGGAGAGCACATCATCATCACACATCATCACAGAGACTGTAACCAGCTAAGCAGGGAACTGCCACTAGCCAACGGCAGCATAGCATCTAATTCTGTAGACAGTGTTATGTGAGGAGGACAGAAGAAAGTGGATCAACGACAATTGGCATTTACATAGTGACTGCCTTCTCGAATGCCAAAGGCTACTTGCCTGTCGTGTTACAGATTTAACTTAATTCTAGTCCTTTGGACTTCAGAGAGCGTGGCTTTTCCTGCTTGTGCTGACGGTGCCTCCGTGGCCTCACTGTCATGCTCTCCTCACTCCTAACCCTCCACAGAGGAGCCTTGTTATCAAAGGTTCAGTGTTATCCTCTGCTTATGGAACGGTATGGGGGCAAAGGAGGGAAAGACAGGCAAAGGAAAAACCAGTTCAACAAGTTCAACGTATAAACAAAGCCAGAAAATGTAACGGCAGGTCACTGCACACCTGTACAGATGCAACAGGAAAATGAATCCTGGACTTCACCTCCTGACTTGCAGACTTGTGCCCTGATGGCCTCATCCTGGTCCCATGCTCATCTCTCCTCTGGTTCTCCCGGAACAGAGCCCAGGAAAGAATAGGAAGGTGAGAACAAAAGGAACTGAGAGTGTGAAGAAGGGGGACCCAGATGCAAATTGATGTGAGGATGAAGATAGAGCCGGGCAGTTTATGTATTAGGAAGCAAGAACTCAGGGAGGATGACAGAGTGAAGACCAGAATACTGTGGGACTTCCTTGGTGGTCCAGTGGCTAAAACACCCCACTTTCAAGGCACGGGGCTCGGGTTTGATCCCTGGTCAGGAAACTAAGGTCCTAAATGCCAAAACTAAGAGTTCACATGACGCAGCTAAAGATTCTGCAAGATTGAGGGCAGGAGGAGAAGGGGGTGACAGAGGATGAAATGGTTGGATGGCATCATTGACTCAATAGATGTGAGTTTGAACAAACTCCAGGAGATAATGAAGGACAGGGAAGCCTGGATTTCTGCAGTCCATGAGGTGGCAACAAGTAGGACATGACTGAGTGATTGAACACCAATGCTGCAGTTAAGACCTGGTGCAGAGCCAAATAAATAAAGAATTTTTTTTTTAAAGGACTGTGACTTGTGACAAGGAGGAGGACATTAGGCAACCTGGAGGGGACTGGGATAGAAAGACAGAGGGACATTCCTCTAAAATCTTCACCTCTATAATGGGAGAAGATTCATCAGGGAGTGGTTTAGCCTTGCTGGGAATTCCAAATACCCTGTCCCATTACCAAGCCGTGTCAGATGACATCATCTGAAGAGCTATTTGTTTAAATGTGGTTCCCATACAAAGCCAGCTGGCCCCAAACTGTCATTAGGTTTTCTAGGAAACGTGGACAATCTGGATAATATCACAGAGTAGATTGCAGGGAAGTGGAAGGTTTCAGTGCTGGGGGTAGCTCCCAGGACAGTGGTTTATAAAAAGGCGCCTGCTGCTCATGATCCCTAGAGAGAAGGCTCCATACAGACCTCCCAATGGCTGGAGTTTATTTTTATAGCTAATGGCTCAGATTCCCTTGGGCCTTGCAAGTAGAAAGGGCAGGCTGAAACCACCATAAGTCCCCTTTTAGCTGATGAGAAATTTCTCAAAAGAGATGACACACTCGGCTTCTGAATATTTTATGTCCCATCTGTTGCCTCAAACAAAAGCAACAGCGGCCACAGTGCCTGGCCCTTTATCTGATGCTGACACTCCTGACCCCTTCTTCCCTGCCTTCTTCTCTGTCACTCTGGTCTCATGTTCCTAGAGCCCTTCCTCCTTCTTCCCGAATTAATTAATCAACCGGTCAATCAATCCCTTTTAAAAAAAAGTATAATTAACTCTCCCGTGCCTTGCAGAGGTGAATAAGATACAGTTCTTGCTGGACAGGAACTCTCAGTAAGTAATGGAGATAAACAGGAAACAGTTGATAAGTGCTGTCACAGGGTGAGGGACAAAGGGTGTGCCCGACCGTACCTGAGATCAGGAAAGGGTCAGCTGATCAGGAAAGGCTGTGTTATGTCTTAAGGCTTGCGGAGAAATGATACAAGGGGAAGGGGGATGGCAGGCAGAGAGAGATGTAAAGTGAATGGAGGTATGAGCCAGGGTGAGGAGTGTTTGGAGATTTAAAAGTAATTCAGTGAGGGGGACTTCCCTGATAGTTCCATGGCTAAGATTCTGCACTCTCAATGCAGGGGCTCAGGTTCAATCCTTGGTCAGGGAGCTAGATCCCACCCCCTGCAACTAAAGATCCTGCTTACTGACAAAAATCAAAGATCGCGGGTGCCACAACTGAGACCCAACACAGCCAAATAAATGAATGAAAAGTGAAAGTGAAAGTGTTAGTTGCTCAGTCATGTCTGATTCTTTGTGACCCCATGGACTGTAGCCCACCAGGCTCCTCTGTCCATGGAATTCCCCAGGCAAGAATACTGGAATGGGCTGCCATTCCCTTCTCCAGGGGCTCTTCCTGACCCAGGGATTGAACCCGCATCTCTTGTATCTTCTGCATTGGCAGATGGATTCTCTCACCACTGTGCCCCCTAGGAAGCCCCCAAAGTGATTAACTATTAATTATTTTAGTGAGGAAAGTGAACTGAAGTTGAGGCTTGCCAAGAGTCAGGGATGTCAGAACAAAATATTAGTCTAGTGGTCCAGACGAATGACGATGTCCACCTCAACTAAGGAAGTGACAGTGAGGATGGAGAGAAGAGGACGCATTTGAAGACTCTTTCAGAATATTGGAAAACCTGTGGTCGACTGCATGGGGGAGAAGGAGGAGGGGACAGGCAGGGGAAGAATTAAAAATGTCTCCCAGGTTTCCAGCCTCAGTGACTTATACTGAATAGTGACTACTGGAGAAGTGGATTTGAGAGTGCAGATTTAGAAGCCCTGACTTAGAGATACACAGAGGTCATGAAGTAGAGGAGCTGAACGACCATCTTGGAGCCCAAGAGAAAGTATGAATGAATGATAAAGGTTTGGAGCCCAACAAATCCAGATAGAGTGAAGGTCTTGTGTGTCCTGGTCACAGGCTCCTTGGTGTCAGACACTGTGTCTTACAGATCCTCAGGCTTCCCCCACGTGCAGTATAAGTAATAAACATTCAAACAATACTTGGTGAATGAAGTCAGTATACCAACGTCCTCTGAAAATCCAGCAGTAATGAGAAGAGATGTGGGAGGGAGCCATGCCCGGCAGTTCTCTCTGGTGGGTTCCTATGCTGTAATCTCCCAGGAGAACAGAGCTGGAAAGACTCACACAGGCTCAAGTAAAGCTTAACCAATAAGGCCTACTGGTATTTATTTTTTTATTGTATTTTAAAATATTTATTTCTATTTATTCGGCCACATCGAGTCTTAGTTGCTGCACTGGAATCTTTAGTTGCAGCACGTGGGATCTAGTTCTCCAACCAGGGCTTGAACCCGGGCCCCCTGCAGTGGCGGCACAGAATCTTAGCCACTGGGCCACCAAGGAACCCCCCACTGGTTTTTAAAGGCAATCCCTCCTCTTGGGTACATTCATTAAAATAGCAATTTAAAATGATGCTCACCATGGAATATTACTCAGCCATTAAAAAGAATTCATTTGAATCAGTTCTAATGAGATGGATGAAACTGGAGCCCATTATACAGAGTGAAGTAAGCCAGAAAGATAAAGACCATTACAGTATACTAACACATATATATGGAATTTAGAAAGATGGTAACGATAACCCTATATGCAAAACAGAAAAAGAGACTCAGATGTATAGAACAGACTTGTGGACTCTGTGGGAGAAGGCGAGGGTGGGATGTTTTGAGAGAACAGCATCGAAACATGTATATTATCTAGGGTGAAACAGATCACCAGCCCAGGTTGGATGCATGAGACAAGTGCTTGGGCCTGGTGCACTGGGAAGACCCAGAGGGATTGGGTGGAGAGGGAGGAGGGAGGGGGGATCAGGATGGGGAATACATGTAAATCCATGGCTGATTTATGTCAATGTATGACAAAAACCACTACAATATTGTAATTAGCCTCCAACTAATAAAAATAAATGAAAAAAAAAACTAAAAAAAAAAATTAAACTGTTTTGGAAAAATGAAAAAAAATAAAATAAAATGATGCTTGCTGGGTGCAACTAGAGATTATTGTACTAACTGAAATAAGTCAGAAAAAAGAAAGACAAATAATGTATGATATCACTTTTCTGTGGAATCTAAAATATGATGCAAATGAACCTGTCTGTGAAGCAGAAACAGACTCATAGACGTAGAGAATAGACTTGTGGTTACTGGAGGGGTAGGGTAGGGAAGGGATGGACTGGGAGTGTTATTACACATCCCAAACAGGTGAATAAACAAGGTCCTACTGTATGACACAGGGGACTACATTCAGTGTCCTAGGATAAACCAAAATAGAAAAGAATATTAAAAATAATGAAAATAGAGTATGCCTCGGTCGCAGCTCGGGCGCCGGCGCGGGGTCGCGAAGTGCAGGCCGCCGCGCCACTGTCCGGCATGATGGGCTGGGGTCCCGCAGCTCCCTCCTCCTCGCTCCAGCGCCATGGAATGCCTGCGGAGCCTGGCCCAGCTCCTGCCCCACGTGGTGGGGCTGCCCAGGCGCAGCCTGTGCGCTCTGGCCTTGGGCCTGACCCCCGGCACTCGCCCCGTCGTCGCCTACGGCCGCGCCACCGAATTGCTCGGAAGGAGGCGGGCCGCACCGCTGTGCTGGCCCCGCCGGCTCCCCATGACAGGTGAAATTTACCGGAATAGAACTTCTGATGTGTCTCAAGCCACTTTAGCCAGTGTATCCCCGGTGTTTACTGTGGTGAAATCATTGTCTACCAGGAACACTTTAAGACAATCAGTTGATGCTATTTGAAATAATGTGAGTTCCTTTACAAGACAAAATTTGACAAAGAAGGAAAGGTGACTTCTTTTGAAAGGAAGAAAACTGACTTATATCAAGAATTAGGTCTTCAAGCCAGAGATTTGAGGTTTCAGCATTTAATGAGCATCACAACCAGAAACAATAGGATTATCATGCAAATGGAGTATTTGAAAGCTGTGATAACTCCAGAGTGTCTTCTGATACTCGATTACCGTAATTTGAACTTGGAGCAGTGGCTTTTCCGGGAGCTCCCTTCACAGTTGGCTGGAGAGGGCCAACTTGTCACATACCTTTTACCTTTTGAGTTTAGAGCTATAGAAGCACTCCTGCAGTATCGGATCAACACCCTTCAGGGGAAACTTAGCATTTTGCAACCACTGATCCTTAAGACATTGGATGCTTTAGTGGATCCCAAACATTCTTCCGTAGACAGAAGCAAACTGCACATCTTGCTACAAAATGGCAAAAGCCTGTCAGAGTTAGAAACAGATATTAAAATCTTCAAAGAGTCCATTTTGGAGCTCTTGGATGAAGAGGAGCTGCTGGAAGAGCTCTGCCTGACAAAGTGGAGTGACCCGTGAGTCTTTGAAAAGAGCGGCGCTGGGACTGACCATGCAGAGGAGATGGAGTTGCTGTTGGAGAACTACTACCGATTAGCTGAGGATCTTTCCAACGCAGCTCGGGAACTCAGGGCACTGATCGATGATTCACAGAGTATCATATTCATCAATCTGGACAGCCACAGTAATGTGATGATGAGGTTGAACCTACAGTTGACCATGGGAACCTTCTCTCTTTCGCTCTTTGGGCTAATGGGAGTTGCTTTTGGAATGAATTTGGAATCTTCCCTTGAGGAGGACCATAGAGTGTTCTGGCTGATCACAGGAATTATGTTTATGGGAAGCGGCCTCATCTGGAGGCGCTTGCTGTCATTCCTCGGATGACAGCTGGAAGCTCCGCTGCCACCTCTGATGGCCTCTTTACCTAAGAAGATACTTCAGGCAGACAGAAGGCTGGAAATGAAACAAGGTGTCCTAACAAATCGTTAGGAATAACCCAATGGAAACTGAACTATTTTTTATGGTAGTCACAGGGAAATTCTAGTATCTTTTTATTATTTTATGGAATCAGAGACTTGAAAGAAAATCACTGACACTTAAATTATAATGTCTGATGATAAAAATATTATGGCAGTCAAGGTACTAGAACTTAATTGTATTTTTGTGCTTGCTTTGTAAAAGACCAAAATTCTATTTCCTACAAACTTAAAAGACTGTTTTTATAGATGTAAGACATGGAGAGATTAACTTAATCCAGGATTAGATTGTGGTATTGATTTTATTTAATTTATACATGTTAACAAAACTGCAGCCTTATGCCAAATGAAGCCTGGAAACTTGACAAACCTGTAGTTGTGAGATTAGGTAACCACAGTTCTTACTGTAAGGAATCATGTTCTTGTGATTTCCTGACTCTCAGGTGAAAAAGCTAGCATAATATATATTAACCATAAACTTTAAATAAAAAATAAATAAATAAAAATAATGAAAATATGTGTACAAGTCATTTTGCTATACAACAGAAATTAACACGATATTGTCAATCAACTGTGCTTCAGTTACAAAATAAATCAAAGGGACTTCTCTAGTGGTCTAGTGGTTAAGACCCTGCCTGCCAGTGCAGGCGATGTGCCTTACAGCAGCTTAGTCTCAGCACCACAACTACTGAGCCCATGCACTCTAGAACTCTCGAGCTGCAACACGAGAAGCCACCACAATGAGAAGCTCACACACCAAATCAAAGACCAGCCCCCACTCCCTGCAACGAGAGAAAGCCTGAGCGCAGCAATGAAGATCCAGTGCAGCCAAAAAAATAAAATGAATATAGATAAAATTATGTTTTCTTGCTTTAAGAATAGTTATTTGCTTTGGTGAATCCATCCTAAGGAAAAGTCCAGAATTACTATAACAAAAGAATGTCCTATATTTATAATGCAAAAGACTAAAAATAATTTATATGATCCAACGATACAGGCATGCTCAAGGACATTAAAGCATATATACTGGATGGAAGTCACACAAATATTAAAAAAAATCACGATTATGGGGAGTCTGTAGTAACATGGAGGATGCCTGGGACATGATAGTAAATGAAAAAGAAAAATTTTACTTCAATGGGGATACTTATCCTGGGCTCTTGTGAGCATTAAATGACATCATTTATTCAACAAATATTTGTTGATCACCTCCCATGTAACAGGCAGTTTTCTAGGGACTGGAAATACAGCAGTGAACAAAATAGGTAATGGTCTGTCCTGTGGAGCTTATGCTCCCGGGGAGAGAGACAGACAAATGTGAGCCAGGAAAATATTCATTATGTTATGTAGTGATAAGAGACAAGAAGGAAGATAGAGCAGAGGGAAGGAGGTGGAGCCTTGGGGACTGCAGTTTTAGACAAGATGCCCAGGGACAGCCTTCCTGAGGATCGCTGATCCTCAGTCCAGTGATCACTGAACTGAAGAGAATGAGGAAATTGGCCACGGGGCCCATGGGGGAACGTGGTCAGGCAGAGGGGACAGTCCGCAGAAGAGCATCAAGGTGGGAGAGTGCCTGTAATACTCTAGAAATGGCCGAGGCAGGTCGTAGCGGAGAGCAGCAGGGACCAGATTATGGAGGGCTAGTGTGCAATACAGCATTGTCAGGACTTTGGCTTTTCCTGCAAGGGAAACCAGAGCCCTTGAAGGGAGCAGAGAAATGATGCGACCTGGCTTATGCTTAATAGGATCACCCTGGCTGCTCTGTTGAAAATAGGCTGCAAGGGGTCAGAGGCAGAAAAGGAGAGATCAGCTGGGAGCCTATCAGAATAATCCAGGCAAGAGAGAATGGTGGTTTGGGCCAGGAAGAGGGCAGTGAGAGGCTGAGAAGGGGCTGGCTTTTGGCTATATTTAGAAGTAGAGATAATAGGATTTGCTGACAGATTGAAAGTGGAGTGTAAAAGAGAAGAGTCAAGTACTCAAGGTTTTTGACTGCAAGGATAGTTTCCATTTACCAAAACTGGGAAGACTAGGAGGAACGGATTTGGGGTGGAAGAGATCAGTATTCAATGTACACGTTGGACGTGCCTGTTACACAAGGACAGTAGAGGCTGTTGGTGCCTCACTTGTGCCTCTTTGGGTCTTACCATCTCAGTGCATGCAAGCCAGACCTTTGTCGCTCATCTCTTTGCCTCTGGGCTTTCTCTAGCTGCTGGAAGTGCTTTTCCTGCATGCATGGGAGGCCAAAAATACAGGGGAATTAACATCTGTCAAGAGCATCCAACAACCAGTTACTGGCAGTAGTTGATGTACCCCCGCTCTCTCACTCTTCTCATAGTAAGACTCAAATGATAACTTGCAGCAGGATTTTTGGAGGATGGAGGGAACAACAAAAACAACAAAAAACCCCACAGAAAAATGAAGCAGTCAGGTCCATAAACCTTATGGATCAGTTTATTAAAGGGTAACTTACTCATAAGGTGAGATCAGGATTGGACAGACAATGATCTGGAAGCATTTGTAGGATGTACTCTGCACTGCAGGGCCACTGGGACAATTTTAGAGCTAACCTAGGATATGGGGTTACGTATGCGCTTAAAACAGGAAGTGTGTTCCTAAATCAAGATGATTGAAAAGGTAATGAGTCTTGTGGGTACTGGGAATATGTCAGCAAAAGTCTTTATCATTATTTGGGAACTAACAGAGCATAGAGGCCACCTGAACTTAACAATCCTTAAACAATATCTATGGGGTAAAAAATCCGCCTGCCAACGCCTGCCAATGCAGGAGACCTGGATTTGATCCCTGTGTTGGGAAGATCCCCTAGAGAAGGAAATGGCAACCCACTCTCATATTCTTGCCTGGAAAATCCCATAGACAGAGTAGTCTGGCAGGCTACAGTCCATGGGACACAAAGAGTCAGACACAACTTAGTGACTAAACAACAATGTTAACTACAAAGCTCTTGACAACAGAAAAGTAATTTACTGCATGGTGAAGTCCTGGATAGGGTCAGTGGAAGGACAGGAGGAATTGTATGGGCCCAGGATGGTGTCAGTTATGCCAACAGTGATGCAGAATTAACTGATAACTTGCTTAGTAACACATCCTTAATTGGCTGCCTTTCCTTTCCTCTCTCACCTCCTCATTCTTCTACCACTGTTTGCTGGTACAGTTGTATCATTCCTAATCAACTGTTTGCAGTTGAATCACCACCTAATGACCTGCTTCGGAACGCAAACTGAGACAACCCCATGGAGAGGTCTTATAGGCAGGTGTATTTATGCACCTGGGATCACCAAGGAAACGATTGTAGAGATGGCCGAGGACTAAGCCTTCAGGTGTCCAACATTTAGAGGCTGGGCAGATGAAAAGAACACAGCAAAGGAGCCTTAGAAGAAGTGGCGGGAGGTAGGAGGAAAACCAAGAGTGTGTGTTTTCTCAGAAACTAAGTGACAAAAATGTTTCTAGGAGGAAGGATGAAGCCTGAGAACTGGCCATTGTTTTTAGCAACTTGGAGGTCATCGGTGACCCTGAGAAGAGCATTTTTAGTAGCATTATCTCTTAGGTTCAAGATATAACGAGGGTGGGACTTCCCTCGTGGTCCAGGGGTTAAGAATCTGCCTTGTAATACAGTGACACGGGTTTGATCCCTGGTTGGGGGACTAAGATCCCACGTGCTGAGGGGCACCTAAGGCAGCATGCCACAACTAGAGAAGCACGTGTGCTGCAAGAAGAGCCCCAGTGCCACAACTCAGATTTATTTGGCAACTCAGCCAAATAAACAGATAACTTTAAAAAAATATATAGTGGGAGAACCGGAGACAGTGACATAGAACCAACTCTCTAAGGGAGCTTTTCTATACAGAGAATGAGAAAAAGAGGTCTAATGCTGAAGGGGGAAGTGAGGTCAAAAGAGGTTTTTCTGTGGCTTCTCAAAAACTTTTAAAGATGTTCAGTGTACATAAATACAAAAATGAAGGTTTTAAATCTGAAATATTCAGTTAAATGAATTTTCCAAACTAAAAAAGACCTATATAACCACCACCAAGTTCAAGAGAAAACATCCCCAGTACTTCAGAGGCTCCCCATCCCCACTTCTATTTACTACATCCCCATGTATAACTGGGCTCTCCTGGTGGCTCAGTAGTAAAGAATCCACCTGCCAATGTGGGAGACCTGGGTTTGATCCCTGGGTCGGGAAGATCCCCTGGAGAAGGAAGTGGCAACCCATTACAGTATTCTTGCCTGGGAAATCCCATGGACAAAGGAACCTGGTGGACTATAGTCCATGGAGTCTCAAAAGAGTAGGACATGACGTGGCAACTAAACAAGTGTAACCACTATTCTGACTTTTAACATCACAGATTACCTGTCAAACTTGATGTAAATGACCTCATAGAGTGTGTCTTCTTTTGTCTTATTTCATGTGCTTAATAGTAAATTTGTGAAAACCAGGGACTTCCCTGGTGGTCCAGTGGTTAGGAGCCAACTGCCAGGGTTCCAAGTTCAATCGCTGATGCAAACCGCACAGCACAGCCAAAAAAAAAAAAATTTGGGGAAAACCATTTCCATTATTTTGTGTAGTTTAGATGCTTCATTCTTATGAGCTATACAGCAGCTCATTGTATGAATATATTATAATTTATGCAATCTACTATTGATGAACATGAGGATAGTTTCCAATTTGGGGCTACTATGAATAATGTTACTATGAATATTTTAGTACAGTCTTTTGCTAGCATGTATGTATTTGTGTTGGGAAGATTTTTTGGTTTTTTTTAGATGGGTAAATAGCATGAGTGTATGCAGATGGAAAAGATTAAGTACAAAGGTTAAAGCTGATGATGCAGGAGAGAAGGAAGAAATTTTGGATGCCTATTCTTGAGTAGATGAGAGTAGATGGAATCTATTCAACACATAGAGGCATCTTAGCCAGGCCTTAGATAGGAGCAGGGACCATTTTTCCAGAGGAACAGAAAGGAAGACAGTTTATGAGCACAGATTCAGGTAGGTTGGATGATTTGAGGAAATTCTCTTCTATTGCTTTCTTTAATCAATAAAATAGAAAGCAAAGTTACTCAGCTATGAGCAAGGAGAGAAAGTATTAAAGAACTGATGGGAGAAAAGAAGCCATGAAAGTATCATCTAAAAGTGTAGGAGTGTTATTGGACCAGACAAAGTGTTTACCAGGAGCATTAAAGATGCACCCAAGGTAATAAATCATGAATTCAGAGTGAGACAAACCATCCTCGTCACTGCATGGGCACATCGCAGAGAGTAAGTGAGAGGCTGGGTGTAACCAGGTATGTTTTAGCTGAGTGAATAGGATGAGAGAGAGCAGAGATGCTGAGGGAACACACAAACCCATGCCAACAACAATAAAGATGATTCTCCAGCACATGCCCTCATCCTCCCAGTTCCTCAACCCAGAAACCTTGACCTCTTCTTCAACCCTAAACCTTAGCTGAACCCTCCGTCCTACTGACTCCGCCTTCTAAATATCTCACGCTTTCCTAGTTGATTAAGCTGTTGTAATCTGTCTCCCTCATCCGTGTTTATCCACACTGCAGCCAGAAGTGATCTTTTAGAAAATGCAAGCCTGGTCATGTAAGCGAGCTCTGCTTGAAACTTTCTAGTGGTTTCCTTTGGTTACCAGAGGGGAAGGGTGGGGGGCAGGGGGGATAGTTAGGGAGTCTGGGATTGACACTGCTATATTTCAAATGGGTAAATAGCAAGGCCTTACTGTGTAGCACAGGGAACTCTGCTCGATATTATGTAACAACCTAAATGGGAAAAGAATTTGAAAAAGAATGGATACATGCATAACTGAAATCCCTTTGCTGTTCAGCTGAAACTAACACAACATTGTTTATCAACTATGTGCTGCCCTGTGCTTAGAGACTCAGTTGTGTCTGAATCTTTGCAACCCGGTGGACTGTAGCCCACCCGGCTCCTCTGTCCATGGGGATTCTTCAGGCAAGAATACTGGAGTGGGTTGCCATGTCCTTCCCCAGGGGATCTTCCCAACCCAGGGATTGAACCCAGGCCTCCCCAGATTCTTTACCGTCTGATCAATTACACTCCATTATAAAATAAAATAAAGAAAAAAAGTAAAGGAGCTTTCCCATGGTTTCTCAATGTCCTTAATCTGAGGTCCAGAATATGACTCAGGGACTTTGGTCCTGACTGACTGTCCAGCTTCATCTTGGCTTATCTTTCCCTTCATTCCCTGTGTGCCAGCTCCACTCTCTGCTTTCAGTTCCTCGGAGGCAGTGGTCTCCAAAGTAGGGTTCATGTACCCCAGGAGGTGCCTAAGTGGGGGTGCCCACTGGGATGAGGGAGGAAAATATTAAAGCCTTTTTAATATTTATTTGTAATTGCATGGTTTTTAATATCTATGATTACATATATTAACAGTGTGTATATTTATAGTTACAGTTCAGTTACAGTTCAGTCACTCAGTCATGTCCAATTCTTTGTGACCCCATGGACTGCAGCACGCCAGGCCTCCCTGTCCATCACCAACTCCTGGAGCTTACTCAGNCACCATAAGTCATCTGTCACCATATAGAGTTATTATAATATTATTGACTATATTCCCTAAACTATATATTACATCCCTGTGACCTTTATTTTATAACTGGAAGTTTGTACCTCTTAACCTGTCCTTGTCAACTGAAAATGAAAAGCACAGCCTAAAAGTTGAGAATTATCTTTTATTCAGCAGACAAAACTGAGGACTTAAGCGGGGGACACAGTCTCTCAGAGAGACTGCTCTGAAGTGGTAAAGGAGGAGCCAGGATATATAGGAGTTCTTGCAAGAAAGACCAGATAGTCAGAAGTTCAAAAGATTACTCTTAAAGAGAACCCGATATTCCAAGTTAAGGAATTCAGCGCTTTTCTATGTCTGGGAAGATGTGAGTCTGGACTCATTGAAATCTTTCCTTGGATATGCACCTCAGCTAATGGAGCCAATATCCTGTGCTTTCTCATCCCGAGTCTCCTCGGGTGCAGGGGGCTGGGGCTGCGGATGGGGGTGATTGCAGGGCTGACTGCTTGATGGCTGGCATCCCATTTCCATCCTCAGTTCCCTCAGGGCTCACCTTCCGCGGCTGTAATGTGAAGGCTTGATGGCTGCAACGTTCTTTGTTTATTGATAGGTCAGGCAACATTTTTTTTTCATGTATAACCTATTTCTTCATTTCCTTCCTTCAAAGCTACATTTCTTTCTTTCTTTTTTAAAAAAATATTTCTTTATTTGGCTGCATCACTTAGTTGCAGCATGTGGGACCTTTCGTTGAAGTGCACAGGCTTCTCTCTAGTAGCAGTGACAGGGCGTGGGCGGGCTGGCTTAGTTGCCCTGAGGCACGTGGGGGTCTTAGTTCCCCGACCAGGACTCGAATTTCCCCTGCATTGGAAAGCAGATTCTTAACCACTGGACCACCAGGGGAGACCCAAGGCTACATTTCTTGAAAAAACTTATAAAGCTCTGGGTAATGTGACACCTGCCTACTGCTCCGGGCTGGTTAGTGACTCCTTCCCCTCCACCCCACCCCTCCAATTCTCAGTGTCCAACAGTGGGATCCTCAGACACAAACACGACATCTTGCCCAGACCTGGCACACCCTCTCCTTCCCGAGGCCAGGTATTGGGCCTCCTTCCTCACCGCCTGGTCACAGGGCGTGTCACTTGAGTGGGGAGCTCTCTGTTCTCCCGTCTGCACCCCTTCCTAACACGGGCCACAGTGCACTAAGGTTTTTCTCAAAGCCCCCCTGTCTCACATGGCTGTCTGCACCATCTGGAACACACAAGGTACTGCCCGAACATTTGTTGAAGGGGTGGCCTTAGAGACCTAGTTCTTCATGGAACTGCGATTTCTACCACTGAGTGGCAATCCAGAACACCAGCGCTTTTTAAATGTTTCCTATGATTGTACATTAACGTTAGAGGAGGCATGGCTAGAATCTGATTGAACAGGAAGTGGAGGCAGCAGGCTGGGACTAGAGTGAGCAGGCAGAGGGTGTGGAATTTCAGGAAGGGCTTCCCCCCACAGCTCCTCTCTTGCCTCACTCTGATCCCGGCCCCGGGAGGGCAGCCTCTGCTCACAACCACTCAGGTATACAATTGAAAAACCAAAACCGCAGTGGTGTTAAAGGGCGGTTTGAGACAGCCGCCTGACCTGCACGCAGCGCGAGGAGCCAGCGTGCCGCTCCCGGGCGGGAGGGGGCGGCAGAGAAGGACCCGCGCCTGAACTGAAGCCGGGCGGGCGCTGGGAGGACCGGGCGGAGAGGCGGCCTCTCCTAGGGCAAGCTGCCAGACTCAAGGACGGAATTCATTATTCCAGCCCTTAAAAAGAACAGCTCGCGCCCTACATCCAGGTGATCTTCCCGACCCAGGGGTCAAACCCAGGTCTCCTGCATTGTGGGGGTGGCTTTACAATTCCAAGTGTACTAAAAAAAAAAAAAACAAAAAACAAAAACCATGGAATTGCACACCATGGGTGGATTGTGTGCTGTGCGAATTACAAAAAAATTAATAAATAAAATAACAGCTTGCCTAACGGGCTACGCAAAACCAAAATTTCTGTTTCAAGTGAACAGCTGCCCGGATTCTTAATCCCAAAGACTGAAGAATAGGAAAGCCACGACGGGGGCGTGGGTAGGGAGGGATGGTTGAGGGGTAGGGCCCCACCCTACCCCGGGGGGGCGGGGGCTGGCCGTGGCCGTCAGTCCCTCTGCCTGGAGGATGGCCTGCGGAGGGAGGGCGCGGGACCCCGCAGGGTTCCGCTCGGTAGAGCCTCCAGGATGATATTACAATATTGCGTACACCCTGAGCCAGCGTGTGCATCCCAGTACATCAGGCACCGGGAAACCCTGCCGCTGTCTTCCGGGCAGGAAGACCTACTTTAACAAAACCGCTGACACTCTTACTTTAAACTAGCTGCTTCCATGTTCACGCCTGTAAGATAGAAGCTCAGCTGGTAGCTCAGCTGGTAAAGAATCCTCCTGCAAAGCAGGAGACCCCGGTTTGATTCCCGGGTTGGAACCACCCCCTGCAGAAGGGATAGGCTACCCACCCCAGTGTCCTTGGGCTTCCCTAGCGGCTCAGAGGCCACCCGCAATGCAGGAGACCTGGGTTAGATCTCTGGGTGGGGAAGATCCCCTGGAGAAGGAAATAGCAACCCACTCCAGTATTCAGCCTGGAGAATTCCATGGACAGAGAAGCCTGGTGGGCTACAGTCCATGGGGGTCACAAAGAGTCAGACATGACCGAGCGACTGAGGACAACTACTGTGCCAAAATTCTTCAAAGAAGTTGTTTTTCAAATAGGTCACACAGGTGCCTTGCCGTCCTGTGTTCTCCGAAGTTTTCTTGCCTAGAAAGTTCTTATCAAAGTCTGGTCCAGTTTGAACAAAAAAAAAAATGAAGTGTCAGTTTTTAGTAGAGATTCATTCATTTTCAAGCATTAACGATTTTTAATACATAATTTATTGATGTTAATTGTATAATTAATTGTAGGAAAATTAACAAAGGAAAACCATCCGTGATCCGCCTACTAATAACTATTCTAAGCACTTTGGTGTATTACCATCTTGCCAGATTTTTTTTCCTATGCAAATGCATATTTGTGTTTTTCCTATGTTCTTTGTTTTTCATGTTTATTTATTTGTTGGTTGCGCTGAGTCCTTGTTGCTTCACGCGGGCTTTCTATAGCCGCACCGCAAGCGTCTCATTGCAGTGGCTTCTCTTGTTGCGGAGCACAGGCTCTAAAGTGTGGGGTTCAGTAGTTTGGCTCATGGGTCTAGTTGTTCCGCAGCATGTGGGATCTTCCAGGACCAGGGATCCTGCCCATGTACCCTGCATTGGCAGGCGGATTCTTAACCACTGAACCACCGAACCACCAGGGAAGTCCCCTCACATGTTCTATGTTGAATATCTTTTCATGTCCATCAATAAAGATCAACATCATTATTTTAATCACTGTACATACCATTTTGATAGCTCTGTACCATTGTGGAGATAGGTGAACCACACTTTAACTATATCTCTTGCTAGACACCTAAGCTGTTCTCTGTATCACCAAAGTCTTCTTACACAAGCAATCTTGTATATGCATCAGATTATTTAAGATTAACTGCCAAAATGGAAAAAGTCTGGGTCAAGTGTTCGGCCATTTTTAAGGCTCTCAAGATGTAAAACCAAACTACAATCCAGAATCATCTTACCAACTAGTCCTCCCACCAGCGGCACCCTGCAGTGCGGATCTCCTCATAGCTCTCTAACACTTCACCCACACTGAGCACTGATGTTTCCAATGCTGGTTCATGTTGTGCCAGGCACTGACAAAGTCAAATCAGAGCACAGCCCAGTTAGAGAAGGGGGTGGGAGGAAGAAACGAGTAAGGAGTCATCGTTTACAGGGCAGGGTGCTGAGATTATTGTACAGAGAATTCACAGAAATTGGATGTCATCTTCCAGGGACAGGTGTCATAGAAGGCTTCCTGGAAGAGGTTGTTTCTGAGGCTGGCCATGAAGAATCATCTGTCATTAACTGAGTAAAGTAGGGAAGGAGTGATGAGCCGGATAGAGAAATAGTCCTGGTAGATGCAGGTAGAGAAGAGATCCCGGGTGTGAATGTACAAGACCTTTTCAGTGAGCTGCAAAACATTCTGTAACAGACTGAAGGGTACATGGGGCGGTGGGGACCGTGGACAGGAGTGATGGACAGTGAGGCTGAAGGGGTGGCCTGGACCTGATCAAGAGAGTCTCTGTTGGCTACGTAGAAGTGCTTTATCCAGAAAACTGGATAAACCTCCCCAAACTGAAACCTCCTTGGGAGGCAGAAGTTGGCATTAAAACCTATACATGGTAGAGTCACACCAATCCCAGGGACCAGCATCGATGTTGAACTCGAAAATTGCTAGGAGCTCTCTGAGCTAGAAACAGCCACTTAACCTCTGTGTCTATTAAAATAAAAATAAAAGACTAGCTTCCTTCCAGTTCTAGGCAGCTATGAACTCAGGCACATCCTTTGACTTTTTTTCTTTTTTTCCAGAAAAGGTGGCCATCAAGATCCTGGATAAGACCAAGTTAGACCAGAAAACCCAAAGGCTACTATCCCGCGAAATCTCCAGCATGGAAAAACTGCACCATCCCAACATCATCCGCCTTTATGAGGTCGTGGAGACTCTATCCAAGCTCCACCTGGTGATGGAGTATGCAGGGGGAGGGGAGCTCTTTGGGAAGATCAGCACGGAAGGGAAGTTCTCAGAACCAGAAAGCAAACTCATCTTCTCCCAGATTGTGTCTGCCGTGAAGCATATGGTGAGCGGGGTGAGGAGGGAAGATCTAGCTCCCATTCCCCCACGATGGAAGCATGGGGCTTTAGTTTACCTTTGTGTAAGCCAGCAGTCCCCAAACTTTTTGGCACCAGGGACCAGTTTTGTGGAAGACAAGTTTTCCATGGACCAGGGAGTAGGGGGTGGTTTCAGGATGATTCTCATTAGGAGCTTGCAACCTAGATCCCTCCCATGCACCGATCACAGTAGGGTTCGAACTCTTTTGAGTATCTAATGCCCTTGGCAGAGCTCAGGCAGTAACGCGAGTGATGGGGAGCAGCTGTAAACACAGGTGTTGCTTCACTTGCTTACCTGCCACTCACTTCCTGATGTGCAGCCTGGTTCCTAACAGGCCACGGGCCAATACTGGGGGTCGGGGCCCCCTGATCCAAGTGTCCCTGAGGGCTTCAGTCCTTTATAAGGGCAAATAGCTGTCCCTTCTGTGAGAGTCCGGGATGTGCTGGGATGGTGCTCCTGACCTCCTAAGCGATGCCCAGGAGCCTCAGTTACAGGGCAGCCTCCTGGCTTCTGCGGAAGTTGGAAGGAGTCACTCTGAGCAGCTGGATGACTGTCATCCATTCCCTGGCCACACCCACTCCTCCATCCCCGTCTCCTGGTACTCAGAGAACTGGCTTCTGGCTGCTTCTTGGCCTTGCCTTCCTTCTGCATCTAGGATGCCCTCGCCCCTCTCCTCACGCCTCACATTCCCGATCTCATCCGAGCTGATCCAGCTCAGCTTGTCTCTCTCTCTGAAGCTTTCTTGAGTCTGGGTTCAGCCCGCACTGGTCTTCATGCGTTTGGTGAACTCTCCTAGCTCTCCACACCAACACTTCGTGCTCAGCACACGAACACTTGCTTGTGTCTTTCTGATTTTAGGTCTCTGATTATTTCTTTAGATAAATCTGGAACTCCTTAAGCACACTCCCCAGGCCCTCCATGAACTGATTCTCCTGTGTCCTCTCTATCAGCAGCCATATTCCTGGGCACACGGGAGGACTGGGACTTGCAGTCCTGACCACCACTTGTACCACTGTTAGTGCAGAAGTTTTGGCCGCCCTGTTTGCCCAGCTCTCAGTGTAACTGGCAGGAAGAGACACTTGTCTGGGGTCTGTGTTAGCTGGGAAGCTGTGTCTAGTTTGCTCCCTGCTTGGATGTCGTGAGATAAGAACTGGGATCAGTGAGCTCCTGGCCAAATTATTAGCAGGTTATTAGTGACCTAGGGACCCTGAGATCACGTTTGGGAGGGAGAGGGGGAAGAAAAAGAAGTGAGCAAGGGAGAACCTAAGCTTGATAGTGGTGCCTGTTTCAGACCTGTGGTCCCACCAATTGTCACCTAAGTGACTCTCTGCTGGGATGGACTTTCCCCAGGCCGAGAACTAAGCCAGACCTATACCACGCATAATGCTGAAGCTGAAGCTCCAGTACTTTGGCCACCTGATTCAAACAGCCAACTCATTGGAAAAAACCCTCATGCTGGGAAAGTTTGAGGGCAGGAAAAGGGGATGACAGAGGACGAAATGTTGGATGGCACCACCGACTCAATGGACATGAGTTTGAACAAACTCTGGGAGATAGTGAAGGACAGGGAAGTCTGGAGTGCTGCAGTCCATGGGGTCACGAAGAGTCAGATATAACTGAGCGACTGAACAACAAATACGAAGCAGTGGAGCAGATGGTCGGAGTCTTCCATATTCTACTCGGAAAAGAGATTGGGCAGGAGAGCAGAGAGGATCCAGCAGTCGAGAATGCAGGCTGAGTCCTCTGAGGCTCCATACCATGACTTTCTCTAGCTCTCGGGTCTCCAAGAGAGAGGATGACAGGCGTAGATCTGGATTTTATTGGGTTTGCCTGCTGTATGCCGGGACCATGCTGGACACTGCAGATACAGCATCACTTACAGTTCAGCATCACTTAACAGTTCTCACAAGCATCACTTACAGTTCTCACAAGACCTTTGTGTGTGTGTTAGTCCCTCAGTTGTGTCCGACTCTTTGCCACCCCATGGGGTCTAACCCAGGCTCTTCAGTCCACAGGATTTTCCAGACAAGAATACTGGAGTGGGTTGCCATTTCTTTCTCCAGGGGATCTTCCCGACCCAGGGGTTGAACCCGGGTCTCCTGCATTGCTGGGAGATACCATCTGAGCCACCAGGGAAGTCCATACAAGAGCCTTAGGAGGTGGTACTCAGTGTTCTGTTTTACAAAGAAGGAAGCTGACACTCACATACACGGCCGGTATAGTTGAACCTAGAACTAATCAAAATGTCAGGCTCCAAAGCCTGGATTCTTACCCCAGAAGGTCCACCCGGAAAAGTAGCATAAAACCATTTCCCAAGTGCCCTTGGCATTAAACTGGTCAAGAGTCTTCAAGGTTGTCTGGATCCAGAATGCAAGGGTGGGATGGGATCTGCTGCCAGAAACTTGCCCACTATAACTTGCTCCCTTCTCCTGAATTGTATAAAGTTAGAGGAGCCCATCCAAAGGAGCAGGGGTAAGGGGTCGGAGGAGGGCTCTTTTACTTCTTGAGGTTGGCCCTAGTCAAGAGATTGCTCAGCCAGGAAAACCCATATATGGTCTCAGAGGTGAAGGATTATTGTTTCATCGTGTTTCACAAGATCTAGGTCTTTCTCTCTCTTTAGTTGCTAAGTCATGTCCGACTCTTGTGACCCCGTGGACTGTAGCCTGCCAAACTCCTTTGTCCATGGAATTCTTCAGGCAAGAATGGAGTGGGTTGCCATTCCCTTCTCCAGGAGATCTTCCCAACCCAGGAATTGAACCCAGGTCTTCTGCATTGCAGGCAGATTCTTTACCAACTGAGCTATGAGGGAAGCCGATCTACATCTTACTTCTGGCACTCATTCCTGAGGCCATGTGTGTGGGACAGACTTCAGTCTTGACTCCATAGAATGGAACCTTTGGTCTGCTTGGAGGGTTTTACATTTGGCTAAAGATTACACCAGGGCAGCTCGCAAGGTCTGAGGTCTGCCATGACTTAAGTTGATCTCCATTAAATTTCTATTGTTACGCCAACATCACCTCACTGTTTCAGAGCAACTACTGTATCTTTAATTTGGTTTTTACTTTGAGAATGATGACTTTCCCTTCTTTGTCTTCTTCCACAGCATGAAAACCAAATTATTCACAGAGATCTGAAAGCAGAAAATGTGTTCTATACCAATAATACTTGTGTGAAGGTGGGCGACTTTGGATTCAGCACAGTCAGTAAAAAAGGTGAAATGCTGAACACTTTCTGTGGGTCTCCACCCTATGCGGCGCCTGAACTTTTTCGAGATGAGCACTACGTTGGCGTTTATGTGGACATCTGGGCCTTGGGGGTGCTTCTCTACTTCATGGTGACTGGCACCATGCCATTTCGGGCAGAGACGGTGGCCAAACTGAAGAAGAGCATCCTGGAAGGCACCTTCAGTGTGCCTCCGCACGTGTCAGAGCCCTGCCTCCGCCTCATCCGGGGAGTCCTCCAGCCAGTACCTACGGAGAGGTACGGAATCGACTCCATCATGAACAATGAGTGGATGCAAGGGGTGCCATACCCCACCCCTTTGGAGCCTTTCCAGCTAGATCCCAAACATTTGTCAGAGACCAGCAGCCTCAAAGAAGAAGAAAATGAGGTCAAAAGCACTTTAGAACACTTGGGCATTACGGAAGAGCACATTCGCAATAACCAAGGGAGAGATGCCCGAAGCTCCATCACAGGGGTCTATCGAATTATTCTGCATAGAGTCCAAAAGAAAAAGGCTTTGGAAAGTGTTCCAATAATGATACTACCAGATCCTAAAGACAAGGACCTAAAGAAAGGATCCCGTGTTTATAGAGGCATAAGACACACATCCAAATTTTGTTCAATTTTATAAATTGCGTTAGACTGCTGGTAATTAACTAAGATCGTTGTTGCTGCTTTTAAATTTTTTTCACCAACTTGAGTGGAGACTTTTTGTAATTTTTAAATAAATTTAAATTGAAGATATGCATTTCCCCCTGCCCCTCCCAAATGTTTCTTAGCTCAGATTCTAGCTTGGTTTGCAATCTTGTCTTGTTCTCAAACTCTAGCCTTCATTCAGTTAATTGAGGAATATTTACACAGTGCCAACCACGTGCTATGCATGCTTTAAGGTGCTGCAAAATAGGATGGCCAAGCAGTCCAGGGTGCTGTGTTCAGGTTGCAGTCTCCCCTGGAGGTGTGGATTTGAATCCCACTGCTGAATGAATTTCCCAGCTAGCTCAATGGTAAAGAATCTGTCTGTCACTGCAGGAGACACAAGAGACATTGGCTCTATCCCTGGGTTGGGAAGATCCCCTGGAGGAGGAAATGGGCAACCCATTCCAGTATTCTTGCCTGGAAGATCCCCATGGACAGAGGATCCTGGCGGGCTGCAGTCCACAGGATTGCAAAGAGTCAGACAGGACGGAGCACACACATTGTGTTACATTACCATATACCAGGTATTGTTTAAGATCCTGCAAAATAAAAAATAGGCCAAGTCCTTCCTCTCCTGTGTGGAATAAGTCTCGTGCTGAACAAAGGTACTAACAACAGCAATAACATTTTCTAAAATATCAGATAGTAATAGATGCTACACAGGTAATTCAAATAAAGTAATCTGATGTCAGAGAGCTGCCACTTTGTATTAGATGTTGGGGAAGGCCGGCTTGAGTAGCCGACGATCTGAGACCTGAATGAGAGCAGGAGTGACTCTTGGAAAGCCAGCCGTGAGCTTTCCAAGCAGCAAAGCATTTGAGACGGGGTTCCTTCCAAACAGAGCCTAGGACAGAGGCTCCATGTAGAATGACTGATTTGGGAAGTGATCCTAGAGAGCAGGAGGGAGGGTAGAGGAGAGAAGCAGGGAGGATCACTACAGGGTGGCCCGTGCTCCAGGTGACTGTTACCCAGTCCTGTGGATGCTCTGAGGAGCCTTAGGAAACACATCTGAGGAGTCTGCCCAGGGTAGGCAAAGGGAAAGTGTCTATCCAGCAGCTCCTGGGGCCCCACAATCCCACCTGCACCTCCAGATTGTGATGAGAGAGGGCCACGGGGGTTCCCCATGCTTCTCATGCCTTAGAGCCAGGGCAACCCCAGGGCAGGAAGTAAGAGGTACACACAGTTGGCCCTGAGACAAGATGCGGTCAGGTGGGGCCTGCATGAAGCCGCCCAACTTGCCCCAATGGTTGCTGCATCAGTGGCTGGAGAAGGAAGTATGGCTGAAAGGATCTGAAGTCTGTGATCGGACACAGCCCACCCCCAGCCCTCCTCATATTCTTCCTCCATTAAATCTGATCCATTGCTGTCAGTCTCCTTCATGGGGTGAGAGCTGGAAGGACTTAATGCAGTAGGATTAGTCAAATAAGTCCCAGGGGTGATTCTCAAGTTCCAGGTCAGAAGAATCACCCAGAAGGCATGTTAAAACAGACTATGAGGCCCTGCCCCTAGTTTCGGAGTCAGAAGTGAAAGTGTGAGTTGCTCAGTCAGTTCAGGTCAGTCATTCAATCGTGTCCAACTCTTTGTGACCCCATGGACTGCAGAATGCCAGGCTTCCCTGTCCATCACCAGCTCCCGAAGCTTGCTCAAACTCATGTCCATCGAGTCGTTGATGCCATCCAACCATCTCATCCTCTGTCTTCCCCTTCTCCTCCTGCCTTCAATCTTTCCCAGCATCACAGTCTTTTCCAATGAGTCAGTTCTTTGCACCAGGTGACCCAAGTATGGAAATACAAAGTCTTCAAGAGGGTCCTTGTCTGTCATGGTGAGTGAGTGAGTGAAAGTCACTCAGGCATTTCTGACTCTTTGCGACCCCATGGACGATACAGTCCATGGCCTTCTCCAGGCCAGAATACTGGAGTGGGTAGCATTTCCCTTCTCCAGGGGATCTTCCCAACCCAGGGACTGAACCCAGGTCTCCAACATTGCAGGAGGATTCTTTACCAGTTGAGTCACAAGGGAAACCCAAGAATACAGGAGTGGGTAGCCTATCCCTTCTCCAGGTGCTCTTCCTGACCCAGGAATCGAACTGGGGTCTCCTGCATTGCAGGTGGATTCTTTATCAACTGAGCTATCAGAGACTGTCATAGTAAGAAAAGTCTATACTGCTTCTACCCATTGGTGCCCAGACTGGTATATTTTAACAGCAAGGAACATATATTTATGAGCCAGTGTTAAAGCATGTATACTGAATCCTGGGGGTCACCACCCCAGCCCTGCAGGATGCTGTCCTATGGCCAGTGTCTTAATTGAGCCGCTCCATCACTCTGTCTCTGCTGGCTGCTTCTGCTGCTGAGATACTTAGTAAGAGAAGTACATCCATCCCATGGTCATGTGCCCATCGCCCCCTCTGCTTTTACCAAAGATGTGGTACTTGAGGCAGTGTTATGTAATATACATGACAATGGATCAGGTATTCTCTAGGACCTAGCATGATGGTCTTGGAGGATTCATGGAAGACAGGAAAGGTGAACCTATATCCTGTGTAGATATCAGCTCTGTGAGGATGAATGATCGCTTTGTCTATCTGAATGTATGACTGTGGATCTGATAATGCTCAGCTCATGAGGAGATCTGCTTGGTCCCTTGGTGACCCATAATCAAGTGTTCAGTCTCTCCTAGGGCCCAGAAACATGCCGAGAGCCTGAGAAATTTTCTGTTGCAGAAAGCGTGGCCTCACTCCCAGATCCTGCAGGGTTGTGCTATAACCTTCTGCAGGGGTGGCCAAAGAACACACCATGTTCTTAAGCACCACTTAGACAGTCAGAGTAGCAAGGCAACTTGCACTGAGGCCTGAAACTACTGTAGGTCTTTTTTCTGTGGCATCCCTTGAAACCAGCAGCCCTGATAAATGGGTTGGAGGAATATACCAGGTGCAACATGTGTGCTTCCCAAACCCAGAGAGGCCTGCTAAACCCTGTGTCTCTATCTCAGTGATAGAGGGTACAAGGTGCAACATACAGAGATGTGCCTCAAGTCACTTGTCCCCTACACACTTCATCAGTGTGGCCTGGTCCCTGCCTTTTCATAGAACTTACCACCCACACTCTGACACACACAGGCCTCTGGAGGACTGGCTACTTTCTGATGCCACATCCGCCTAGAATGCTGTGGCATGGACCAGCATAAAGTGCTGCAGAGCCTCAAGATGATGAAGGTCCTTCTAGACTATCTTGTGACGTAGAGCAGCAGATTTCACCTTGCCTCCCGGCAATAGAATAGATGAGAATTTCTGTCTATCCCAGGAAACTGTGACCTGCTTTTTGTTTTAATTTTATTTATTTTTTAATTGAAGGCTAATTGCTTTACAGAATTGTGTTGGTTTCTGCCAAACATCAACATAAGTCAGCCTGAGGAATACACATGTCCCCTTCCTCTTGAACGTCCCTCCCACCTTCCTCCCCATCCCATCTCTAAGTTGTTACAGAGCTCAGGTTTGGGTTCCCTGAGTCATACAACAAATTCCCATTGGCTATCTGTTTTACATATGGTAACTAAGTTTCCATGTCACTGTCTCCATATGTCCTAACCTCTCCTTCTCCCCAACCCCTGCCCCCGGTGTCCATAAGTCTGTTCCATATGTCTGTGAACTGTTTTTAATCCTCCCTTTTGATGTAAAATGAGAATGAAAATTTTCCCCCAAATAGCTGCACATCGATGCTAGAGTCTTTGTGTAAAATTCACATCCAATATGGCAGTGAAAACTGAGACTAACAGTGGTCTGCCGTCATCCTTCATTAGCCATCTGCTCTCTTTAGGAGTCTGATGGGTAAATTAAAGTACGTTAACGAGGTTATGATGGAACCCATAACCTTTGGGTCCTTTATTCTCCGATGGTGACCCTGACGGATGCATTTCCTCATGTGGTTACTTACGAGTTATTAACATGGCTGGGGAGATGACATACTTTCAGAGGTCTCCATGTGGTGCCTCCTCTCAAAATGGTTCTTACTCCACAGGTCAGGAGTCTAAATGTGTTTATCCCAAATAGGTACTTGGAGACAAAGGAAAGGACCCCAAGATGAGCCCCCCAGTGTGACACAGACTTTGGCCAGAACTCAGCCACCACCTGGTGTCCACAGGTCTCCATCCCCTCTATCTACACATAGGGCTGTAACGGTACTTGGGTTCTCTGGTGTCCACTTCAGTTCACACTTTTTATCCAACAGGCCTTAAACATTCGGGGTGCACATATCATATGCACTTGTAGCACAGCCTTTTGTCACGGAATCTTGGCTGCCCCCTCACTGTGCACTGGATCTCTAAATTAACTCAGATCTGGAATCATCATTTTCTCATTGTGACAGGCTACACCAGCCTTCTGCTCACAGCTTGCCTCTTTCCTTTTTGGTTATAAAAGTCAAGTAACGCTCTACAAATTGTCACTCAGAACTCTGATCTGTTAGCCATTGTCCCAAAGCCCTGCAAACCAAACACCCTGACTCCCACTCTAGCCTCACTGCCCATGTCCACCTTGCCTCTGACCTTTAAGTATGATACATGGCCTCTGCCACTCTGGAATCCCATGCATGCCCCGTTTCATGACGGCATTTCCTACCGTCATCCCTGCCTGCAGGGGGCGGTCGTCACTGAGCTTGTGGGAATTGGGGCCCCCCTCCCCACTGCAGTCTTTGTTGCCTGTGTGAAGGTAGTAGCCTGGGAACTTAGGTGGTTCTTCAGACTCACATAATGAATCCATTCTAACAGTCACACCTCTTGGAACTTTCTGAGCCTTTCCTTAATCGTACAGCACAGCAGTTCCACCATCTCCACCTCGCTGGTATGCCAGACTCACATCCAAACCTCAGCAGCCATCCCAGCAGTAATATTAGGACCAGCTTCAGGTGTCCTTCACCTCACGGGGACAGGCTCCCATGATAATAAACTCTCCGTCATCCTGCCTCCACCTCCATCCCCGGCTCGCTACCCTCAGGATCCACTCGCACACATTCCCCTCTGGTTCCTGACAGTAGCATATTAGCCAGGTTGTGTAAT